CCACCACGTCCTGGAGATCACCCTCATCTCCGCCCAGGATTTGGCTCCAATCTCCAAGTCCCTCCGCGCCTACGCCCTCATCTGGATCCACCCCAACCGGAAGCGCACCACCACCGTCGACCACCACGGCCACACTAGCCCCACCTGGAACAGCAATTTCTCCTTCAAAGTTGACCGCGAGTTCCTCGAGTCCGACCAGTCCGCCGTCTCCGTCGAGATCTACACCGTTTCGTGGTTCCGGGACGTCCTCGTCGGGACTGTCGCCGTGAACCTCAAAAATCTATTCTCTCCGCCGTCAGCGTATGGGAAGAGATCTGTGGCTCTCCAGATCCGCCGCCCCTCGGGATCTCCTCAGGGAATGCTCAACATCGAAGTCGCTCTACTCGATGGCGCGTCATTCCGAGGCATGCCGCTAGCTGACGTCACCTCCACGTCATCGAATTACAGGAAAGATCTAGAATTCGATCGAAGGAACGCTCTAGAACACGAGATCGGGGAAGACGACGACGAGAGACAGAGGATCGGCGCGAAGGTTCTTCAATGGCGTCGATCCATGAGCGCGGACATGTCAGATCTGAACTGCGAAGACTTTCCTGAGAACTCGGGATCCATTTGCAACGGATCGACGGTGAACGGCGGCTCGGAAGTTTGCTCCGACGTAGGGCCGTCGGCTTCCATCGTGGCGGCGGAGATAGCCAGGGATCGACAGCGGTTGAGGGAGTCGAGAGAAAGGGGAGTCGGAGACAGCATGGTGCTGGCGGCGGAAGAAGCAGGCGGGAGAGGATTGAGGACGAAGATGGAGAGATGGAGGAGGGAGACGACGGCGGAGGAAAGGGATGAGGTTGACACGATGATTGCGAGAAGCGGTCACCGGCGGCGGAATTCCGATAGCGGTGTGTATTCGTGCTTCGTGTACGGATTTCAATTTACAATTGTTTGCGGTACGAAAAATAAAAAATCAGTTACGGATGAAATCAATTATTCTGATTAAAAACCTTTGGCATCTGAAATTGGCAGCAAATCTCTTTATTTGTCAATTCTAACTTTTTAATGTAATATTTTCTCGGAATCAACAAAATAAATTCTCACACGATTTTTAAACTAATTGACCACAACGCCAAAATAGAATAAAATAGGTGAAATTTGCACTAAATAGGACTAAAACATAATGACTTTCTTAATGTAGGACATAAACTTTTTTATTCTCTAAATAGGACTTAATAATGACCTAGTGGGAGGATTAATGTCCAGTAATGATGGACATTTACTTTAATAATGACTACTTAATAATGACCAAAGGTCCTACATTGGAAAATAAAAACATATGGTCCTATATTGGGAAAGTCATTATGTTTTAGTCCTATTTAAGTAAATTTCTCACAAAATAATACGGAGTATATGGAGAATTGAAAGTGTACTTAACACAATCTTTTCTAAATTTCAAAAACATGGAAATGCATCATTTTTAGCATGATTGGGAGAGTTTCAATCTAAATTTAAAAAACATAGAAATACATCATTTTTAGCATGATTCCGAGAGTTTCAATTGTGGTAGTTCTTATTATCTTCTTTTTTTCAATGGAAGATGCTTCAAATTGAATACGCTCTTTGTCAAGACTATTTTCTCCACTGCCATCACAATGTTCTTGTTGTGTAAGGTATGTAACGGCCTGGAAATCGACTTAGTAGTTAGCCGTTATTTTTAAATAAATAAATATTTTTTATTTATGTTGGAATTGATTATTTTAAATAATTAATGAAGAACTGAACTACTCGCTAAAACAAGATATTTTAAAATTAATCTATTTATGGTCAAATTTATACTCCGGAGTATTCAAATTGTAGTCTCGAAGAAAAGTGTCCAACGTGTATTCCATGCGTGAACCCGAATTACGAAACTTATTAACTTAACTGCTCAAGAGCGAAAAGACAATAAAGTAAAAGAATACTCCGTATAATATAAGTATATCATAAAGTCAAAATTAAATATTCAATATTGGGGTGTCGCTAGGTAAGTCTCGTAAAAAGATGACCAACGATATATTAGTTGCCAAATTTGAATCATGTATATTAAAAATTATGAAAAAATAAATGTAATAGTAAAATAAATAAATGAATTGTTTTTTTGAAAAATAAATTGATTTTATAATATAATAATTAACACGCACGTATAATTCTAAATCCTAAACTCGTATTATGCAACACCCGAAACCTCAGAGTTTATTACGCACTCGAAACCTCAGAGTTTATTATGCACTGAGTAGTCTGAGTTTATTATTTGAATAATAAACTTACTTTTCACTGTCATGCATAATAAACTCACTTTACACTGTGATGCATGATATTTTAAACTTTACCGAAATTTGTGAGCTTTTGGTTGCCATATAGCTGCTAACGACATGTTAACGGAAATGACATATTTTGTGCAACAAAATGAAAGTCGAGATTTGTTGAATTTTCATTTTTTATTTTTTGGAAATTTTTCTTTAAAAATTAAAATGAAACTGTACCTCCATCATTTTTTTTTAAAGTTTAGTCTTAAGGAAAGAAATAAAAAAATAGATATAAAAAAGCAAAAAAGAAAAAAACAACTAAAACCATTCAAAATAAATGAAATAAAAAGATAATTAATAAAAACTAACCTCAAACACGTAAGAAATAAAAATATAAGGAGTGATGGGCTCTAATATTTTATGCACTATAGGGAATATTATTGTATCACTTCTACATGTTTGTAAAATATGAAAATAAAAGAATAAGTAATAATTGTCTTATTAAAATCCGAAATAAATAAAAATAGCTTTCTTATTAAGAAATAACTAAAATGAAATTACGTTGAAGTAAAAAATTATTTTTTTTAATTTATATTTTCATTTTTTGGGGTTTTAATATGAAAATAATTTTTTTATTTTTATTTCCATATTTTACGAATGGGAGGAAATAATACATTAATACTCTTTATACTGTCAAAAACATCAGAACCCACCACTCCATATATTTTTAGTTTTATTTTTTAAGAATTTGAACTTAGTTTTTATTGATTATCTTTTTATTTTATTAATGTTGTATGGTTTTATTTATTTTTTCTAATTTTCCTTATTTTATACTCCGTATCTATTTTTATGAGGTTAGACTAATATTTAAAAAAGAAAAAGAAATGATGGAGTTAGAAAATCATTTTAATAATATAAGGAGTAACTTTCATAAAAAAAATTGTGAAAAAAACTCACCTCAAATAAGAGTAAAACATAATTCTTATCCCCAAAATAGGAGTTTCATATTCTTATCTCTAAAATAGTATTTTTGCACTATTACATTAAGACACTATATATTTCCATTTTACAATGTTTTTTGGCATTATATATTGACGTTATGGACACTGTAACTCCTATTTTAGGATAAAAACATGTAATTCCTATTTTGATATTTTTCTTTAAAAATAATCACAACTTTCATTTGATTGTGTAAAAAAAGTTTCGTTAAGCTGCTCTTAACAACTTAATGATGAACCAAAACTTGTAAGTTTCAATAAAAATTGGATTATTATGCATCAAAGTGAAAGGTAAAATTATTTCTGAAAGACCAGTTAAAAAGGGTGAAAGTTTACCAAATTATTTTTGAAAAACCAGTTAAAAAGGGTGAAAGTTTACCAAATTATCCTTAATAAAGAGAGGATAATTGTAGTATCCAATTGTAAAAAAATGATAGTGTGGAGATCTTTCTTGGACAAAAAAGGACATTTGAAAGGATCTTTTTTGTACAAAGGAAGTAGTTCAATCTAAGCCATTAATACAAACCCTTTTGAGAGGTAACGAAAAACAAATTAATGAGTACATAGTTCAAAGTCGACAATATCTTTTTTTTACTATGTGATTATCAAGGGAGATGTTCTTTAGTTTATAAAATACTCCGTAAGAAATAAAATTTCATAAGCACTTTTTAGATTTTAACTACTCACTTTTTAAAAAATTTTGTACTCCATATTTAGTTAACTGGCTTGAATTTTTAAAAGCATATAAAATTAATTTTATTACATTCTTAGATATACAATAGATATGTAAACATTTATCCCAATTTATACAAAAATCGTAGGGGTAGACAATAAGAAAAATGCTAGGAGTGCACCATATGGTGTACCCCATTGTATCTCAACCATACAATATGGGCGTAGGTTAAAAAATTGATAAATGCATAAAAAATGTATGGTGATGAAAGTTGGTGTACAAATAGGGTAGACCTGTGCAAATAAGGATCCGGGCTAGATTTGGGTCAGGCTTGATATAAATTATTAGCCCATTTACATTGGCGGGCCCGGCCCGGTCCAGATTTGATGGACTAAATTTTTTACCCATACCCGCCCATCTTTGCAGGCCAGATTGCCCACCGGGCCGCCCGGCCCGGATAAAACATCAAGAAAATTTTTTTTATACAAAAAAATAAAAAAAAATAGAACTCTTTTTTAATGTTTAAAATAAAATAACCCAGGGCCGGCTCAAGGGTGGGCCGAGCAGCCCTACCGGACCAGGCCCAATATTTCTAGGGGCACAAATTTTATCAATATTGTATAATACTCCGTAATATACACAAAATTAAAATATAATTTGAAGGCGCCTGGATTCGAACCTTGGTATACGGCAGGGGACAAGGGACACTTCATACACTTGAGCTACTAATCCCATTGTTACATATGTTACCCAATAGGATATATAACAAATACTTGCGTTTAATAAAACTTTCAATTATTTAAAAAAAGAAACACAAGTAGAAAAATAATTTCTTTTTATGTTTCTTTTCTAAAAATTAATATTAATACTTATACCTAAAAAAAATTTCATCAATAAAAATTAAGAAATTCTTATTAATTACTACCTTCGTCCAATATACTTTTTTAATCCAATATACATTTGTTCACTTTCATTTTTACACACCATCTAATATACTTTTTTAATCCATTTTATCTTGTAATTTGTATATAAAAAAATTATAGAAATTATATATTAATAATCTATATGTTAAAACAAATCAAACAAGATCACACATGACTATATTTAGGCTTACATTTTGAGAGAATATGATGAGTCAAAGTACTTAGATGAACAGTTCCAAAAGTTAAAACTGGACGAATACTCCGGGACGGAGAGAGTATACTTTAATATATTAAAACTAATTTTGTCTTCTAGTTTTCTTGTTTCAATCAACTAAATATAAGTATGAAGTGTTAGTTACATACAGATTACATAGTATTATCTAAAAACACATTACCTAGCTTTTAATTTTAAAAATAATTGTATTGCTTTTCTATTTTAGTATATATTTATTTGATATTCATTATTTATCTCTAATTGTAATAAATAATACAAATAGAAAATAGAAAGTGTGATGACATATGCAAAATGATATAAAAAAAACTAGATGGAAGAATGAAAAAACACAAATTAAATTTCCTTATTTATTAAAAAAATCTAATAATATAATTTATTTTAATTATAATTGATCAAGCTATTGACCCCTGAGTCGACTAGTTCAACTATTTAACCCTTGACCCACTAGCTCGTCTGGATCGACATTCGGACTAATTTCCAGAACATTGATTTGGGGATATAAGTATATATAAACCCTTTACTATGATTTTAATTCACTCATTTTAGTAAATTATTATTACGTTAATTGTAATTCAAATATAATTTATTTACACACTTTAATTCGTTAAGTCATTAGGAATAAGACCTTTAGGCCTTTTTTCTGTCTCGGCCCAGGCCATGGAATTCTCGAGACCGGCCCTGAAATAACCAGTCACCATATTTATATAGAAAACATAATAGAGATATTGTTGCATAATTAATAAACCTATCATACTGATTCATTAAAAGAGTATTGATTTTTGTGTAAAAGAGGCGAGTGAATTAAACTATTAATCATGAATTATAGAAAATTTTAAAATTTATATTGACTAGATAATTAATAATAAAGTAAATATATTTGATGAATATGGGGGACATGTTGGCCTAGATGAGCTAAAAGTAACTTCCATATCCGCCTATATACAATTCGGGCTTGGGCCGGCCCGCCCATTTGGGTATTAAAGATTGTTCAAATCCGCCCTTTTTAAAGGGCGAGCTGGACGGGCCGAACGGGCCAACCCTTGTTTGCACAGGTCTAAAATAGGGTACACCAAATAGAATGACTCTGGCAATAATACCGCCATGACATTGTTCCGAACCGAACATGGTACCATACCAAAAAAATGGTTTTTCTAATGATTCTGATAAATTATACTTCATGGTCTGTATCATGTACCAAACCAAATCGTTTTCAAAAAAGTATAGTACAGGTTCTTAAAAAGTGAGAACCGAAAAATTCAAACCAATCGTTACTCATAAAATATTAAAGTAACAAACTAATTATACATTTATTACATTTGCTGTTTTTAAATATTTTTACCCCATCATTCTCTTCTTTGGTGCAAGTTTTTTATAATAAAACTATTTATCAACCCTTTAAAAACTTTGTTATTGTTTGTAATTGGTATGACATACCAAACAATTTTTGTCGCAAAATCATACTTAACCGTTGGAATTAAAAAACGGGTTCTATGAAAATCTCAAACTATCACGAACCACACAAACTCCTGCAAAATTGATACGAACTCACTTGGAACCATCTCAAACCAATATTTTGAAATTGAGATTAATGACATAAAATCTCATATCAAATCAAAATATGCAAATACAACATCAATACAAAATAAATAGCATCTCAAACCATTCTCTGCTCACCCTACTTTGTTCTCAACACACGTTATTTTATCAAATGACTAATAAAAATAGAAAAAGAAAATGAATAAAATTTGACTATGTGAATAGTAAACAAACAATTTAAATTGGGATGGAGGCAGTATTTGCAAAACCATGTGGGAATAAAAATGTTAGTCATTAGGACAAATAGTAGCTCATTCCCACAATACAAGGCAAGAACTCATTATTCCCTAAAGAGACAAAAGGTATACCATGTTAATTAGAAGTGCGTGACATTTTCCTAACTAATATCGACAAGATTCCATTAACACTAGGATTCAATGGCAACGGATGACACACGTCTATTTGGAGCACTTCCGGTACTCCGTTTGCAAATTGATGGTTTCTATCCTGCCTAACCCTTCTTAAATCCCCTACCCCAGCCCCACACTACTCCCCCTCCCTTGACCCTCCAAATGTGTGGCTATTATGCATTGTATAATAGATTAACATCCACACATTTCGAGAGGGCAGTGGGGCTAGGTTGGGGGCACAAGGGCCGGGGTATGGTAGGGGATTTAATGAGGGGGGAAGAACAATCAATTTTGCATTTGGATCACTAGAGGTGCTCCAATTGAGGTGAGTGTCAATCCATTGACATAGGTTTCCAGTGTCAACGGAACCTTGCCTATAATATATATATATATATATACTCTATTCTAGGGAAAAAGAGAGGCAATTACATTAATATTACACATACTCTTAAGGAAAATGCTAAAACCCCCCACCCTTGCTACCACCCATGCCCCCCTACATAAACATGTGGTAGGGAGGCAAGAAATTAAAATTAGAGGGTGGGTGGAGAATGAGTAGAGATAAATATGTGGTGGAGAAGTGGGTGGAGGCAAGATTAGTAGCAAGGGTGAGGGGTGTGTAGCATGGTCCTACTCTTAATTTGGCTGATGAGTCTGTACACTCCAAAATGCGCAAAGGACAGGAGATGTATGGGACTTACATCATTAATTTCTTTTCGCATTTAGATGATTTGAAATAAAATGAATATAGTAAATTGTATGAAAAATGAGGCCGGTTCTAGAGCCACTGGAATCCAGTGGCTACGGAAGCCACTGCCCCCCTATGGAGCTCCGTTCATGAAATTGATAATTTCTACTCCCCCTAACCCCCGGTAAACCTCCCTGCCAAGTCTCAATCCAAACTACTACCCCTACCTATGTCAATTGCACCTCACAAGTATAAAGTCAAAATATTTGACTTTAAAGTCAATTATACTTGCGAGGTTTAATTGACGTAGGTGGCGGGACTAGTTTGGGACGAGACTTGGCGGGGGGTTAGAGGGGTAGGAATCATCAATTTCATGAACGGAGCTCCGTAGGGGACAGTGGCTTCTGTAGCCACTGGATTCCGGTGGCTCTAGAACCAGCCTCATGAAAAATACAAAGCTTAACTAGAAATAGTCATTTTCTAGCCTATGACTAACAAACAAAGACAAATTGGGGAAACAAAAACTGATCCTCCCATCCATCCCTACCGAAATTCCCCCAACCACACCCTTGAGCGAAAAACCGATGAGCATTTACATAGAGAAAAAGAACAGGGGTGCCATACTAATGATAACAAATCAATGTTAACAT